AACAGTGCCCAAATTTATACACCTGCCTAATGTAGTTTAACCAATTATTGCACACTTTCTGTAAATCATATAAACTTTATTTCACTTCTCAAATATCACTGTGTTTGTCTCCTATATGATATATTTTACTGATGTTTTTAATCCAAACAATCAATGATTTATAAAGATAAATCAGAACATTAACAAGGCTGCTCAAACCTTCACAGCTCTCTGCAGATCTGTAGCATCACATGGTTAAATCCCATCAGGAACATATGGATCTGTACCATCTGCCAAATCCAGACGTCGCTCTGCTGCACTGATTTCTCTGTGAGTCCAGGTCCGAACACCAACACCTGTTGACAACAGGTGTCTCTTTATATCTGTCATACAGCTCATCTTTAGATACAGCATGTACAGAAGTATTCAGTCTCATTGGTAAACTTTCTATAAACCACACAGCTGGAAAGATTTATAAACTTTACATAATTATCAATTTATTTCAAACTGAATACATTTTGTTCAAGTTAATCTGAGTTTTACAGAAGAATTAAGAGAAAGTGTTGAAACACTCCTGACTGAGTGTTGGTATGAACTACAAGACTTACAGTCAGTCAGTAATTTCACATTCTGAATGGTTTTTCTTGCATAAATACATCATCTTCTGCTGAGACCATTCTTCTGAAGAACCTAAATGTTTTCCAGTAAATTCTGAAGTTCTCCTTAAAGAGGGGAGCATGGTGTACCTCTGTCTCAAACTGTGGTCCAAACAGACTGATGGAGCTGCCTTTGGACAGTGATGTCCTCTGTTTGTCCAGCCAGTCTTTGAAGGAGAAGGGACTCATCACGTTCATGGTGTTCAGCTGGAACGGAGGCTCTCTGAAGACTTCATCTGCTCATCCAAAGGAAGCCCCACAGATGTCCATCATTTAAACAAACATGGACACCAGGTTAAACTAAAACAAGAAACTTACTTGAGTCGGGTTTTCCTGTTTTGCACTGCTTTGATCCCTCAAATCTGTGAGTAAAAAGTGGTCAAACATGAACATGTCAAATCAATGGTTTGTGAGAAAAAAGGTCCTTTCACACAGGAAACAGGCTGCTTCACTTCCCAACCTCTTCCTGCTGTTTGACATACAAGTTTGATTTGAAAAATCATTTAACTTCAGCTGAAATGGTTTTAATGCAAGGTAAGACAGTTTTGAAGCATTTATTCAGCCTGTTGGGATGTGTTTGGCTCCTCTGATTCTCCTCTACATGGTTTAAAGGAGCTGAACAAGCTGAAACCGTCAGAAAGCTCTCTTAGCTGCTGCTTGTTCTTCTCATCAGTGAAGAAAGGATCTCATCGGGCTGACATGGACACATAAAACATTCAAGCCTGGAAAACCTGAAACGTTTTGAGTCCTCCAGCAGAAGCTGTGAACCTGGGTGGAGTCTGTCAGTGAGCATCGTTTCATGCAGCACAACACAAAGGTCTCGTACTCTTTGATGATCGGGATCAGCTGGGTTCCCAGATCCTCGCAGTGGAACCACCTCTCGAACAAGACGTCAGTGGTGTTGTCTACGTAGTACCTGAAGAGAAACACGTGTTAGTGCTGCTGCGCGTCACCTAAAACATTAGACTAAACTACATGCAACACAAACAGCAGCAACACAACTGAAACAAGAGTCAGGACTGGTGGAGCTCAGTGCCATGGCCTCGCAGCAACACAGTCACAGGTTTGAATCCGAGGGCAGTCCTCTGCTCTCACAGCTCCCTCATGTGTGGGGTTTCTCCAACAACTCAGATGTTGGAGAAACTAAACACAAAAAATGTCTCCAATGTTATAATATTGGTACATTTTGTAAAGTATGTAACTGTTCTTAATGCATTAAAATACATTTAGTGTATTAATACACTAAAATACACATGTATGTGAACTGTTCATTATGTTTTTGTGACAATCATTAGACTCCATGTTTGTCCTGTGGTCTGTAAGACCACCTAAAATATTCACTCTAGTTGTTCCTTCATGTTTCTCTAAATGAAATGAGGTTGTGAGGTCTCTGTCGGTGAACTCAGTGTGAAGGAGGAGGACAGTAAAGGTAGAGCTGGTGACCTCAGGCAGTCTGTCTCTGTCAGGAGCCGTCTCCTCTCCACCACCAGTCCTACAGTGTGGGCCTGTCTCTGAGGGGAGTGGGGGGTCCGAGCTGGAAGCAGAAACATCTACAGCAGGAAAGAGCACAGCGTGTGGCCGACTGTCAGAGTGCAACAGAAAAACAACACCTGATACATGAACACAGAGATAACACTGAACACTGCACTGAAAACAGGACTTTTCTACTGTCTCTAAAACAAAACATCTTTCAAAAATATAACATAAAGAATTGTGCAAGAATAGAAATTCTTTAAATTATATTTTTATTAGTTGTATCATGGCTAGTCAGTGTTTAGTTTTGTGTGTACTGTCTAYRGTCTGYGTGTGAACCTCTGGACTGATGTGTCATTATCCCTGTTTGTCACCAGGTGGAGCCACTGNCACCTGAGACCCTCAGACTGAAGAGGTGGAGCCACTGAGTCCACCTGAGACCCTCAGACTGAAGAGAAGAACCGGTCCAGTGGACCTCCTTCATCTTTTCTAACAGGATGTAAGAGTGAAGACTGTCAGATCTCACCTGTCCCTCTTTGATCAGCACATCTTTGTGTTTGCCATTTTCAATCACCTTCAGACACATGTCCCCCTTCAGCTGAAAGAACAGCTAAAACAACAAAACATCAGCTGAACGAACAGCTAAAACAACAAAACATCAGCTGAAAGAACAGCTAAAACAACAAAACATCAGCTGAAAGAACAGCTAAAACAACAAAACATCAGCTGAAAGAACAGCTAAAACAACAAAACATCAGC